TTCATTATTTCTTAAATTTAGGATAATAAAGAAGTCATTTCTGCTGCAAAACTTGCTCTGGATAAGTATGGAGCGGGTTTAAGTTCTGTTAGATTTATATGTGGTACACAAGACATTCACATAGAATTAGAAAAGAAAATTGCTAACTTTCATGGCAGAGAAGATGCTATTCTTTATGCATCTTGTTTCGATGCAAATGCTGGATTATTTGAGACATTATTAACACCCGAAGATACTGTTATAAGTGATGAGCTTAATCATGCTTCCATCATTGACGGTATCAGGTTATGTAAAGCAAGGAAACAGAGGTGAATGAGTTAAATTTATTTTATTTGTCTTTATTATGTAAAAATATATTATATTTTGCAAAGGTACAAGCATAGGGACATGATAGATTTGGAGAATAAGCTACAGGATAGTATGTCTTCGCGTTTACGATTGATTGCAACTGACGGTGTCTTTTCTATGGATGGCACTGTTGCGCCATTACCAAAAATATTAGAGCTTTCAAAGAAATATAACGCTCTTACGTTTGTAGATGATTGTCATGCTACTGGATTTTTTGGAAAAGCTGGAAGGTAATTGCATTTATTTTGATACACTTTGTATTAAATTTCTATTAATTAGCAGCCGATACAATTTTTTATTCTATAACAATTGTTTAGTTCTTTTCACATTTCTTAACTTTCTTTTAAAATTCGGACCTAAATTTACTGGGTTTTATTTATCGTAACTTACTCTAATTTTTTTAAATATATTGTATTATTGGAAAATAATTAATTTAACTATAAAGTTTATTTTCATATTGAGTAATTTAATTCTAGAGGCACAGAGGATTATTTTAATCAATTAGGAAATGTTGATATCATTAACTCCACGTTAGGCAAAGCTCTTGGTGGAGCAGCAGGTGGTTATACAACTAGTAAAAAAGAACTTATTAATTTGTTGAGACAACGTAGCAGACCATATTTATTTTCAAATTCATTGCCACCACCTGTAGTTGCATCAGCTAGTAAGGTATACTAAAATGTCAATTGTTTCTGTTAAAATAAAAAAAATAATGTGATCACTCATATTTTTATTTTTTAATATTGTATATAGGTTATGGATTTAATAACAAACTCTATGGAATTTTTGGATCGTTTAAAAAATAATACCAATCTGTTTAGAAGTAATATGAAAGCAGCTGGTTTTACAATTGCTGGTGACAATCATCCTATCTGTCCTGTTATGATAGGTGATGCAAGATTAGCTACTGAATTTGCTGATAAAATGATTGGTAAATATTTACAGTATATCATGTAATGTATCAGTTTTTAACAATACGTATAATAATCGTTTTCTATTTATAGAACAAGGAATCTATGTTATTGGTTTTAGTTATCCAGTAGTACCAAAAGATAAAGCGCGAATACGTGTTCAAATTAGTGCTGCACATTCAGAAAAGGACATAGAATATGCTGTAAACGCATTTGTACATATTGGAAAAGAACTTAATATTATTAAGTGATATTCTTCCTAATCATAAAAAATTCTAGTAATTGAAATATTTTTTATAATTCTTTAATCAAATCGGTAATATAAAAAACAAAAATAAAAGTTACACATATATAATTGATCAAGTAATGTTTAATATACAAGTACATCAAACTGAAATTTTTAATATATGTATTCCTATTGTATTAAATATTATAAAAGTATTACCTCTTATACAAACTTCATCATGTATAAGTAATCCTTTTAGATTAAAAATCTTTTGATTACATGTCAAAGTTATATATTTTTACGAAATGTTAATTGTACAGACGTTAAGGCTTATATGGTTTTACAAGATTTTCCGAAAATTCTCTGACTTGTTGGACTCCTCGAATTTCTTTTTCTAATAAAGGAACTCGGATAATATGAAAATCTTCATAAAGATCCATTATCTAGCAAAGAGTTATTGTATTAATTTCTTCAGTTCCTATATGAAGTAATATGAAATCATAATATTTTGATTTACCTGCTCTAAATATTTATCTTGTATTTTATGCCTAGCAAGACACAGTTTACAAGATGTACAGTTTTCTTTTAAGAATAATAACTGATTCACTATGATATTGTGAGTATCTATACCACATTTTGTTAATTCTTGTACGAGTCTTTCTGTTTCGTACAGTGACAAGAATTCTGCTATGCACACACAAACAAATGTAGTCTGGTCAGGGTTTTTAAATTGTTCATTAACTTGTCGAATGACAACAAGCATCTCCTCTATTTTGTTACAGAATGTATCTACATTGAAATCTGTCATTCCCAATAATGAACTGATCTATAACAAAGTAGTTTTGAAATTGGAATACTGTTTAAGCTGATACTACATATCATTCATTAAACTAAGTATTTCTGACCTGTGTAATAAAAGGACTAATCTTCATCTTCAGACGCATTAATTTCCCCAATCCTTTTTCTACTACTTGTGGGAATGATAATAATCTTAAAGTATGACCAGTGGGTGCAGTATCAAAAACAACAACAGAAAAGTTCATTCCTTTAACCAATCTGAAAATATGGATAACATATAGAACAGTTAAGTTATACCATATATAAATATCATTGATAAAACTACAGAAAAGCCATCTCACCTCCGATTTCGATGATTTTTAGTTATGTCGTAAAACTTAACATTCTAAACATCTGTTTCCTATACATATAACCGGCAGTTTCGCTTAGAGGGATTCGCAAAAATCTGCCGATACCACTACAGTGAATTCTGCCTATAGTTGTGTGTGTCTGACAGCATGTGCTTCAGTATTGATTACCGACTGCCGGCCGCTTTTTTTCTGTTTATAAACGAGGATCAGACAAGCTTAAAGGTTCCGTGCACAACTGCATATACAAGGCTACAAAAAATGTTTGTTATAAATTATTTAAGAAAGGATATCATCAATGTATTGAATTTGGGTTAATCTTTTTAATATGGCTGCCACGCGGCGGCCGAGTACGCTTGTCTAAAATAATAACAATTATTTTTTTCGAAAAATAATATCAATTATTCATTCGCCTACTATTTTTATAATTAATTTGTTATTATTTCATGCGGCGGCTGAATAGACTAACCTAAGCCAAACCGAAACTCAATACATTGATGATATTCGCTTTTAAGTAAGTTATAAATTATAAATAACAGATATTTCTTGTAGCCTCGCATATGCAGCTTTGTGTTGGACCTTCGAGCTTGCCCATGTTGCTTGTTTGTTTATAAACAGAAGATAAGCAGATGAGAAGATGGCAACCAATATTGACACATATGTTGTCACAAATGCACAACTATAAGTGGAATAAGTAAAATATAAATAGAATTGTAGAAGTATCAACAGGTTTCTGCAAATATCTCAAAAACTAAGAGAGATACTATGCTTTTTATATGTATAGAAAAAAGTTGTTCAAGATATTAATGTCTATAGCATATTTCATAATCATCCAAATCAAAGATAAGAAAGTTTTTCTATGGTTTTACCAATATTGTTAAATTACAAAGTATTATTAACTTCATGACTTCTGCATAACTCATTGCTTCGTCTATACCAGGGAATGCTCCAACAATTTCTTGCATTATGCTTCTACTCAATCTCATGGCTTCTCCTCCTGGAACTGTTTTGTAAATAATTTATGTGTACATTTATGTATCAAACTACCAACAACATTGTAAGCATATAAAGTGTAATACAAAGGTATAACATCGATAAAACAGAATACCAGCTTCACTTTCGAAATACTCCTCTGGCAATTCAGTAATGCCCACGTTTGGATCTATTTCCATAGCGAAAAGATTTTCAAAACCTTTTACTTTCGTCGGAACTTTACTAAACTTTTGATCAAACGCGTCGGAGATATTGTGCGCCGGGTCAGTAGATATGATGAGTACATTTTCTCTGACTTTCGATAACTGCACAGCCAACGAACAACTGGAAATTAAAACAAGCAATGATCAAACTGCGATAAACAAACGAACTTTTGAGGTTAGAATATTAACCTGCACGTTGTTTTACCGACTCCACCTTTACCACCGACAAATATCCATCGCAAAGACCGTTGTTCGATTACGTTTCTAATCGAAGGCTCGTATTCAATCGTTTCTTCATCATTTATGCTCATATTCATCAAGAAAGACTGTGTTCCTAACAAATTTTACCACGTCATTTACCAATGTCGTTAGTTATGGGACAAGAGCTTTTTTTGTGTTATATACGCAATAATTGACAAAGAGTGGCGCTACAATCGCTCAATCATAGCTCCACACATTACATCCTACATTAAGTCGATTCTAGCCCGCGCACCAGCGAAGATATAGATGGCGTTACCGTCATGGATTAGGTTATTGGGTCATCGTTCAAGTTGGTGAGAGTGAGATGATAGCTGAGAGGATAAGACACTTATGAGACATGACATGACTAGATCAGCGGTTCTTAACCTGTGATCCACAGTTCCTGGGGAACACAAAATCTTCATACGTGCAAGTTATTATTATATTATTCGAATAAAAATCATTTAGTTAATTCATAATGAATCTCTTCTCTCCGAGAAGATTGTTGAACAGTTAATGTGTTTTAATTATATATATTTGGCACATTATTTATTTAAATCTTGAGTTAAGTATTGAGGATTCACGACAATAAAAAATTATTTAAAGGAGGTCTGTGATAAATAAAAGATTAAGAACCGCTGGACTAACTGGCAGAAATAAAAGCTATCTCGAGTTAAGGGGAAAGAGACAATGGAACAAGAGTAAAATACATATAGGATGGGCCATGTTCATAAGTCAACTTCCCATTTAAAAGTTGCATAACCTTTTCTTATTGTATATTTTTAAATTTTTGTTCCAGATTCTTACATTTTCTTTTTTGGGAATTTAAATTATTTTTTTTTTTTTTGGATTTAAATAGAAATTTATTTGCCTTTATTTATCTGCTTTGGATATCTTGTATATATTTATGTATTATATTCGTCCTATAGATGTTTGCACCTTTATATTTCCCAAAAATGGATAGATATCCGTTTATTACTTAGTCTATCAATTATATTCTCAAAAATATGAATTTGCGTAAAAATCCCCTCCCAAAAAATCGAACACATTATTTGTTTAATCGTCGAAAAACAAATATCGAGAAAGACAAATCGACCTCTCGCCATTACAAAAAATTTCAATACGCTATCGATCTGAATACAGAATCGACTTCGAGGGATCGTAGACATACGATTATACGATAGATGTGGTATATAGTTTTTAATACTGGGCTAATTTGGAAATGCATGAAGTGTCTGTAAACTCCGGTTCCAAACGTTAGTGCGTGGTGTTTGTGCTGTAATTGTTGTTATTCTTCCTTTTATCAAGCGGCGTGACTGAGAAATTGAATGTAGCATGCCGCAATTTCATAAAATCGAAATAAATAGGACCGAATGGGAGGTTCCGGAACGATACCAAATGCTCACGCCAGTGGGATCAGGAGCTTATGGTCAGGTCTGGTAAGAATTCAGAAAAACAATTCCAATATAAATTTATATGTTTCAATAATTGCATAATACCATCCTAATCTCATATATTTTTTAGATTGTTCCTTATTCGGGAACCTGTCTATAATGTTTAAACGATCCCGCTCCATATCTCGTTAATAATTTAAGATTTGGTTGCGACCATGAACCAATCATAACCTTGACATTTCTACGATCGTTCATTATGCCACTTAAAATCGTATATACACATATGTCATTCTTTCTTTTTTCTTATTTTGTAATTTAGATTTTAACGAGATTATCAATACGTAAATGTTACGATTGCGGCAGCTCGTGCAAGTATCTCGTGCACCGTCGCATTCTACATCATGGGCCAAACTAAAATTAGAATTATTTGACAATGCTTTTCCGTGAAGATGAATTTAATGAGATGTCTTATACCCGAATTTTCTCGGTGAAACATTTCACAGAACTTCCACTTGGATTTGATAATTGATTAGTAAATTTATATTAACTCTTACTTTATTATTTAATTCTTTAAGTACATGAAATACATTGTGTTTTCTAGAAAAATAAATCCTCTTATAATCATAAAAGAAGATTGATATATACATATACATATATTATATAATTTTAAATAATTATGTTTAAATTAGTTATTAAGATTTAAGTTTATTATTGTAAATGTAAACTGTAATATGTATGTATTTATTGATACCCTTCTGAATTACAAGAATTTCTACTTCCTTATTATAAATCTACATTCACATAATCTTACAACAGAGTATTTATATATTATATATTCTTGTTTTGTTCTATGTAAATCATAGTAGAAACTGGATTAAGGAATCATATATATATTTTTAGCTCGGCAGTTGACACAAAAACTGGACAGAAAGTAGCAATAAAAAAGTTAGCCAGACCATTCCAATCAGCTGTGCATGCAAAACGCACATATAGAGAACTTCGTATGTTGAAGCATATGAATCATGAAAATGTGAGTACATAAATGTGGATTATATATAAGTTTAATATATCTTTGAAGTTGGCATTGTAGAAATTAATGGATTTAGAAACTTTATCTTGTTACTAAATTTAGGGACGACTATGTTCTGTATAGTGAGTTCCATCATGCTATTATTGACCTTTACAAATCAAAATCAATGAGTTTTACAGTGAAATAATCATATAATTCATTACAGGTAATTGGTTTACTAGATGTATTCCATCCCTCTTCTTCTTTAGAAGATTTTCAGCAAGTGTAAGTGCTTTTATGTACTTCTATAATGTTGATTATCTCTTTTCAACCCCTTGATTATGACTCCTTATCATGTTTTAGTAATCACATGTACTTTTAATAGATATTTAGTCACGCATCTGATGGGTGCAGATCTCAATAATATTGTAAGAACTCAGAAACTTTCGGATGATCATGTACAGTTTCTTGTATATCAAATCCTTCGTGGTCTCAAATATATTCACTCTGCGAGTATAATACACAGGGTAAAGTAGCATCACTGATAACAACAATTTAAATGTAATATAGAATACTTTAAATACATTCTTGTCAAATTTAGGATTTAAAACCTTCTAATATAGCTGTAAATGAAGATTGTGAGCTGAAAATTTTAGATTTTGGATTAGCCAGACCTACAGAAAATGAAATGACTGGTTATGTTGCTACAAGGTGGTATAGAGCTCCAGAAATTATGCTTAATTGGATGCATTATAATCAAACAGGTGGTTATTATTTTTCTTTTTGCAAATATCTTATAATACACAATAGTATAATATTTATGCTTTTTAGTTGATATATGGTCTGTTGGATGTATAATGGCCGAGCTATTAACGGGGAGAACGTTATTTCCGGGAACAGATCGTATCCTTTTTACAACCAATCATGCTTTTTATAATTCCTTTTAATATCAATGTCTAATATTCAAGTTTGTTGTTTGTGGTTTTCATCTAATAATGTTGTACTTGTATGCACATAAAACTTCTTTCATAATTCATCTTCAATGAATATTATAAATCTTTAACCATCTTTAACCATCTCAGAATTAAAGGATATGCTTTTCGCTAAGGCTCTACATGGCTTCTTTCCTGCTTTAAAATGTTCAGTTGTTTTACTAATATGTTAATTACATAGTATTTTATTTGTCAGTTGGCAAAAAATGCTTTAATTTAGCTTCTGTTTGATAGCAAGGGAAATTAGCTTTTATTTTACAAGTAAAAATTCATTCAAATATGTATATAATTTTTAATATGCTTCAATGCACGAAATTGTCTGTTGTATTTATGTAATAATTAAAGTATCCATATAGTGAAAGTAGAAAAAGGTGTGGTGGAACCTTAGCAAGAGCAGATATACACCAACTGAACTTAATAATGGAGATACTGGGTACTCCACGTGACGAGTTTATGCAAAAAATATCGTCAGAGTCGGTAAGTAATTTTTAAATTGTTAAATAAGAATTTATCCATAGAAAAAGCCTAAATAGTGCATGCTGCTCATTGATAACGTGTTACGATTTAATTGCCTCGCATGTTACATGTTTTTTTTATCAATATTTCCCTGATTAATAAATTTCACTATATATATATATATGACTAAAATGAAAGAATTATCTTCATAATATTTACAAATTTGGTTGGTGAATATATGTTATTTCCATATATATATTATAACTCGTACTTTGGAATGCTAACAAATGCTTAAAATAATTACAAGCATAATTCATATTACATTGCTTTAAGTTTTTCCTACTCCTGTATAATAAATTATGCTTCAAACATACCTTAACTTTAAGCAGACATTGATCATCTAACACGAGTTTTAGTACTCTGTGGTACACCCACAGAGGAAACTTTAAGCAAAATTACCAGCCAAGAGGTAATTTTTTTTTTAGATAAATATTTTTTGCAATCTTTCTTAATTATTTTTTTATGAATTAAAATTTTTTACATTATTTATTTGCATTTTATAATTCTTTCCATAATATTAAAAATAATTTTGTCTATAATATGATTTTGCTTTGAAGTTTAAAATATAAGGTAATATTAATATTAAAAGAGCTACAAAAAGAGTATAATATGAGTTATAACAAAAATATGTAACGCATTTATGAGGTATTACATGCACAATTTTTGAAGAATATTTTCATGAAATATTGTATAAATTTCAAATATTGAAATAATGCAAATTATACGTAAAAACTGAAAATTAATAAGTAAAAATATTGTTTTAGGCGAGAAACTATATACAAAGTTTACCTCCGCTAAAAAAAAAGAACTTCAAAGAAGTATTTCGCGGGGCCAATCCTTTAGGTAATTACCGAATTTAAAAAGTCTTCTAAATTAAAATTATTTTTATAAATTAAATTAATATATTTTTTACTACTTTTCAGCTATAGATTTACTTGAATTAATGTTAGAACTAGATGCAGAGAAACGAATTACAGCAGAACAAGCTTTAGCTCACCCATATCTTGCACAGTATGCTGATCCAACTGATGAACCAGTATCTTTACCATATGATCAAAGTTTTGAAGATATGGATTTACCTGTTGAAAAATGGAAAGGTATATGTTTCCACTATAATATATATATATATATACTTCATAAATAGTCATTCATATATTACTAAAGTGGTAATTCATTTTTATTATTTGTAGAACTTGTTTATCATGAAGTTATAAATTTTGTACCTCAACAATTACCTGCAATGGCTTCGACGATTGAGTCTTCTTCGTAAGGTTACGTCGATAGCACAAATAATATAGTAAGATAAGTAAGATAATACAGTAAGATAATCACAACAATGAATAATTATGAAAAGATACATGTATAATTGTTATATACAAAGGATATCACATTGTATATAATATGGTGTTACATAAGTAACAGAGTTAATCATACAAACTTATTTGTATTAGAGGCAAAATGTATATTTTTGTTAATGACGCATGATACAAGGAAATGCTAATATTTTTCACTGAGCATTGGTTGTTTTAGAATATAAAGCTATCAAACATGTGACAAATTATTCATATTCATGGTTTTATATGGACATTTTTGTTACATATTCACGTGTTTGAATACTTTGAAGCTACGAGTGCAAGCGCAATTTAATAACCGAAGATCTATTAAGGATTTAAAGCAACTTTTTTTTTTTGTAAAAAGCCGAATTACTTAATATAAAAGACAACTCTTTATCAATAAAAATAAATTATTAAAAAAATGCTAGCTTCAAGGGTTAGATTTTGTTGTATACACCGCTGGTTCTAGTCTATAACATAGAACATATTACATCGAATTTATGGTTAAAAATAATTCTTATTTCACACGCAGATGTAATTTAAAATAATTTAATCTCTAAGATACTGTTATAATGATGCTTTTAACAACAAACATGGCTGAATAAATTTTTTGATCTTTGTATATCGTTTGTTATTTATATTAAGAATTATTCATCTTATTCTTTCACTATGCACATACATTTACGTAAGAAAATCAATAGCTAAACAGACTATATATTTCATGTATTCTTTCATTTTTTTTTTCATGTATATTTTTCTAAATTCTAGTAACTTTTTGAATCTTACGTATGTATGATGTATAATCCGAATGTAATTCATTCATTGCATTCTTTCAGCATACAAATTTTTGCTACGAATTTTAGTATAAGCTCAAGATATGTACATATAGCTTTTATGATATGTAAATAATGGCATCTATCCAAGTGGGGGATTAAATAACCTGATTATGCTACAAATGATCGAAGCAATTTATCATGCCAATTGCATGGACCGATAGTCTAACGTTGAGATTAGTAATTTTTTACAGTAAACACGAATGTCTAAGAAATCCTTTTCATCCGGATTATAAGAACAAACGATGTCGTTACAAAGCTTACAAAAAAATTGTGGATTCTATGGATGTTTGTTGTTTAACAGTTTATGATTGTATCAAAAGGATTACCTGTGTAAAGGCCCAATACTGTTATGAGCTGTCTAAAATCAGTGCTGCAATTTCCTGTGAGAAGTTTTATAGACCAATAGCGAACTGGTTTCCAATAATCCATGAACTGTTTTTCCCATTTATACCAACTTACAATTGTACAAGTGATTGCTGCAAGGTACATATCAACTTATAACAAAACACATTGTACAAATCTTATTTATTTATTATAACAATTTTGTTATAGATATGCAGTGACAAAACAGACACACATAAAGGTTATGACTATGAAGAAACACAGGAGCAGTCGACACGTCCAGTCCCCACGGAACCGAGAGCATTAAGCACAGACTGTGGTTGTCCATATGAAACTTGTTATTGTGACAAATCGAATATAGCTAAACCTCGTACTCGTCTTAGGTAATTTATTTCATTTGCGTTAGTACATAGTGTTAATACATCACTGATTAACATTAGTGTACATAATAAAATATATTAAAACATAGTCCACTTAGGAAAGCAGAAAAACCACCTTTCTTCCTGACGGAAGAGAAAGGTGTAACTACTTCGCAAACCACAGCAAGAGATTGCAAATATTACTTGCACCAGCAAAAAGTATCTCAAATCGATGTGGGGAGTAACATCAGAAGTATCAGTACTGAGCACGCGACTCAATCTGAACTTTCTTATTTCAAAACTGCATGTACAGCTTGTCAAGTGTGTATGGAAAATGAAGTACCTTTTAACTTGATGAAAAAAGATCTAGTAAATAGATTCTTGTCTTTAGTTCAATCAACGAGAATAAATGTAAAGTTTGTCGAAAGTTACAAATAACATTAAATATACGAAATAATTTTCAGAAGGAGACAGACATTAGTTACACAGATTGTGCTCCACCAGTGAAAGACATTAAAGAAAGAAGGAAAACTGACGAATTTGACATGTTCGGCAAGAGTATTGCGTTTCAGTTGCGAAATATAAGTTTCGGTGAATATTGATAGCGTAATATATTACAAAGATAATTATTAAGGTAAAATTATTTGTCTTCAGAAATTGCAGTTAAATTGGAGAAACGAATACAAGATCTAATTGCACAAGAACGTCTGGATCATATGAAACTGAAATATTTGGATTGCTGTACAGCTTCTAGTTGCAGCGAATGTGCAGTTTTGCGCAAGGAAATGGTTTGCAGCTGCGGCCTTCCGATAATCATGATCAAGGCAGATTCTTCCTGCGATCTTGATTGCAAGCAACGAATATAATGTCTACGAATTGTCTGTATTTGTTTAGTACTTAGAAAAAAATCTTATCAAAGATATAATATATGAAATATGATTCTATATGTTGGTTCTGGTATTAATGTATAGTATCGTAGCGAAACAAAATTAATAAAATAACGTAGAGTGATTTAACAAATGCTTCCGTTCGATGTATCGCGCGATCAAATTCAGTCGCGTTCTTTAACTGAAACTGATTTTATCTTGTGAATAGTCGTAAAATTATAAACGTATAAGAAATCGCAAACACTATTTTCATAGAGACACTGTATTAAAATACTGTTGGTAAATTCTTCGTATTATAAAATGTCGTCCAAATGGAACGAGAGATTAGTGATCAGTTTTTTAAAAGCGTACAAGCAATATCCGTGCCTTTGGAACCCTTATCACAGACATTACTATAACTGCTATGAGAAGAACAAGGCATTGCAAAGAATTATCAACGATCTCTGCATACCCGGCTTTACCGTAACCGATTATTTGCACCAGATCAAGAGCATAAGAGAAAAGTAATGTACGATCGGAATTTTTGGTAATGAATATTGTGAAAGAGATAAGAGAGAAAATAAAAAACATCATGAACGAATGTAATTTCTTTTTAAAATGATTATTTTGCGTTTGATGATCGGAATTCACAGTATTGAATGGAGAAGAATATACAGCCTTCTTCATTTACTGTAGTATTATGACCTTCATGTCATCTTAAATGCAAAAAAATTAAGTTTAGTCTAATTTTTTAAACATCGAAGCAAACATTGAAAATTAATACGAAATGTTCTCTATACAAAGCATTAAACAAATATTTAACAAACTATTTATGAAAACAATGATTTTTATTGACACAGATATAAATTGGAACAAACACGAACGATCCAAAGTCTACAATCTCAGAAACAATATAAATCACCATTCTCCTGGTACAATGTAGTAGCAGGCATGTTGGCGAAGGTGATTGATGATGAAGAAAGGCAGAGCTGTCAACTTCATGAACAAGAAATGACTTCTGCTGTTAGATCCTTGAGCAGTGATAGCATAAAAACTTCACAGGAGAGAAAAAGAGTGAGCCCAGAAGCAAAATATGTGGAAATTCACCCATGTAATAACACCACTGGCGGTCGGATGATTTCAAAGAGGAGCAAATCGCAGGAAAAACCATTTTGTCTGGATGGGAAACGTAATTCAACGGGGGAGACGATAATAAAGGAAAAAAGGGAGAAAAGAGTAAAATATGTTCCTTGTCCATCCTTTAGACCAAAGAAAAATGATTCGAGGGATCAAGAAATAGATGAACTTTTGTACTACAAACCCACCAGAGATGTAGAATCTCAAGAGATAGGTAAAAAATTTGTTCGAAAAATAACTTTGAAAAGAAATATGATAGAGTACGAATAGTTTAATTTTTTCTAACTTTAAGAAGAATATCTTCCAGCTATTCCAAATACTTCCATGGATACCAGATTTAACTGTGATTTTCCTTTAACGAAAGAAAACGATAATAGTTATGAATTACCATTTTTAAAATGTCCACTGTGTGGTTGGGAAGATGTGAAACATGAGCAAATTGATTGTAACAAAAACGAGAGAAGAAATTATATTTCTTGTTCGGAATACAATAAAAATCTTTCTGATGGATACAGTCCGTGTGCCGGATGTGACAGAGTCACGCGTGATAGTATGTAAAAAATCAATTTTTATTATAGAGAAATATCTGTTTGAAATTTGGGTGAAATCCTAAAATTTGGATATATGTGCAGATACCAACTTAAATTCATTGTCTATTTTATATTCAGATTTACCTTTCCGATCTATGGGAATTACTGATCTATCAGAATATTTAAAAAAGTATGTGAAGAACTCCGAGGATTTGGAATTTCTACAGACATTATCAAGACATGCATCTTTTGCATCTTTGATAACAAGACATCCATCTGTTGTAACTTTAATAACAGGACTCTCTGCAAGGGCATCAATTACTTCCGCCGTGAAATCTATTCAAATTACGAAGAAATCTGCTCATACAGAAGTAGAACAAAGCGAAGATCCAAAAAGGATTTTAAAAAATAATATTCCAGCATCCATATCGGTTCAAACGCAAGTTCTACAGGTCGACCCTGTAGTAACAGGTAAATTACAGTTGGGTACCATAGAAGCTTCTACCCAACTAGTTCTGCCAGATCTGGATAAACATTCAAAACCAATTGAATTCGTACCAAAAGATGTTTCTCAAGATACGAAGAAGGAACAAGATACAGAATCAGAACCACTTGCAATTGAAACGCGATTTTCTATTGGTAGGAAAAAACGTGAAATAGGTGTCAACGCAATGGATTCTTTTGACAAAGCAGTGCAAAATACAGTTTGTATATCAATTCAAACTACAGATGATATTGACCAAAAAGGAAAAGAGCAAGATAAATATTATAAGACTGATACGATAGAGATGAAGGAAGTAGCAATAAATGTGGTAGATCAAGCTTCGAAAGGAATACAGAGTAGCATCTGTGTATCACGAGGAAATTTAGCCTACCGTATGTCTTTTGAAAAGATGGTAGAATTTGGTACTACCATGTCCTTGCATCAAGTGCGTAGCGTCGGCTGCGTAACAGCGGAAAAGATCAAAGAATTCAAATCGAATTTCGTACAATGCGTTTCTAAAGAAAAATTTCCTTTGGCTCGATCCAAGTCTGATGATTCTATGAAACGTTGTGCTCATCAAGATACGGAATTGAAACGTTTTGTGGAAAAAGAACGTAAGCATTTTAATTGGTACTGCTTTGCAGCTTAGCAAAATATAATGCAATACTATGGATATAAAACACTAATTTTACAAAATTGTTTTAATTGATAGCACAAGAATTTGAGGATTCGTGTACAACAGATACGTGTCCATTGAATATACTACATCTCAGTAGAGATCCCACCATGCTCTCAGTTTTACAACAACTTTTGCAGAAAATATTATTTATACACGAACAAAAAATGCAAGGTATAAAATTAAACAGATCCTTATAAATTTATGTATCAATTTTCATAATTTAACGAGGTTTAATTTCAGACAAATATAAATATCGCCTAAAAGAAAATTGTTTCATCGACATGGACAAAATGGTGACAGCAATCAAAGAATATATAATGATGCTAGAGCCAAGTATTATCAGAGATGATGTGAAAGAATTTCATGAAAAGGTTGATAAAAAGTCATCTTTGACAGAAGTTCGAAGACGACCAAGTTTGAAGGAAATTGGCACGTTTACCATGTGTAATGATAAATTAACCATGACTGAAGAAGATATTTTCGAATTAATATTGCAATCCACATTCACGAAAATGGATAAAAGACAAGGAACCATGGAAGACAATATATTGCTATTAGAGAAAATGAAGAGAAAATATCCAATGATAGACAAAGAAGTTTGTACTCATTTGAATTGTAAAGATGTTGGTATCAGTGGATCGTTGATGCAGCTGTGCAATCGCGACATAGAAGTTCAAGGTGATGCTCGATTGTTCAAGGACTCTGTATGTGTCGCAAAGTATGAAGATATAACAGAAAGAGTAAGCGTGGGTACCCAGAAACGAGATCCGATACTGGTTCGAGTGATCAAGTGCAATGAAAGTCAGGCGGTAGTAAGGTCGGATAAAGAAACGTTAACTATGAAAAAGGACGTACATTTTGAAAAGAAATGTATAAGCAAACGTGTAGAAACATGCGGTCGACCGACTTGCATTCCGTCCACTGTTTGCAAAATAACAAACGAAGCCAATTTAAAATCTACTCTTCGTAAAGAGCGCGAAAATGAAATGATCGATAGTTATGATATATGCGATATAAATTGTAAAGGAAAAATATCTTATGACTGGACTGATGTAACAAATGATGTACTTTCAAATGTTACTAATTCGAAAATTCCGATATGCATGAGACCACTACAAAAATATACATACGCTAGGAGCAAATAATTAAACATTAGGATTAATATAACATATAAAATACATAAATAAATCCTGTGATAAAAAGATATGGAAGTTTATTTGGGAAATAAGTATGACCTTAAAATAACTTTGATCTCATATTAACTTTTTCTTTTGGATATTGTTATATTTCTTAAATCTATTATTGTATCATTTTTTCATTCTTTAAAATTGTATCTTTAAAAATATCTTCTTTATATCAGCATATAGAAACAGTTGTTACCACAATTGAAGATCGTTTTAAACGCAGTCATTGGTATATCTGGCTACCATATCTTCAGAAATGAGCAATAATTTTGATGCAGATCAAAGATTAAGAGAAATCCCTTAAATTCTAGACAACTCTTTATATACATATATAGACACAAAAAGGTGTGATTTTTAGAAGAACTCGGTAATTTATCGATGAAATTAGATGGAATTAGAGAAGCTAACTGTTAAGAGAATCTCGTATAGTTGTTAGATCGGATCATGTGAAATCGATTCGTTCAGTAGAACGAGAATCCTTGGTCCAATCTCGAAGTCAATATCTTGTTATATTCAGGACAGGCAAGTTTGTGGTTGTTCACCTGAAAGTCCGAGGACTTATGGCAGGCCTGATGTTTCATTTAGCGTTGACATGAACATACAAGAACGAATCGGGACGCTTTTACGTATTTACGTTGTGTGTGTGCGCTAACGCGACACACAGAAATATCTTGTTAAAAACAGATTGAGTAACGCTATAGATTAATCGCTTTAACTGCATATGCATAATCCATCATGTGCGTCAATTCGGAAAAATGCCTAAACCGCGCACAGTGCGATATACAAAAATTGAAATAACTATTATTCGATTTTGATCTTATAATTCGATAACATAATCAGTCTGTAAGTATATAAATGTAAGTAATAATTATTATTAATAAGTAATTATTAAAAATTGTTTGTACATTAAAATCTAATCATTTGAAAATTAGCTCACTCATTCATTATATATTCTTTTTTGTTAATTCTTCTTAAATAATGTTTGTTACACCTTAAATATGGAGAATTTGAGCAAAGATATGTATAATTTTAATTTCCAAATTAAAAATTTTTTTCTTTCTTTAAAGAGCGATGTAAAACAATGATTCAAATTATTCTGTAAATTTGATTGTTCTTTGTTAAAAAAAAAATTGCACTAAATTGCTGTATATGGTCTTTTTTTGTTACAAACTACTACATTGAACGTTCTTTATTTTTTAAGTGAAAGCCATTTATAATATTGACTTGGTTGAAAAATGAATTTCTGATTACATTTATTTCAAGAAAATTTTTAATATTACCCAAAATCTCTAAATGCTGGCACAATATCTGACGAAATGGAAGGGAAAATAAATTATTTCTGGACGAAAAAATGGAAAGATCATTCCCTGCATCTGCACTATTTATTTAAACGTTATCGTGTGTGGCTAGACGAAGAAATAAATATTCAAGATATTTTAACTAAGGGAGGGAGTAAGGAAAATACTAACAAAGATTTGATAAATAGATTTTTACTTACCTCGGATCACCTAATAAACGATTAAGTTTTAGGAACACTGTACATTATATGTATTTTTTGATCTTTTTCCTGAATGCTTATTCGAATACTGTACTATGGAACGTGAAAACGTGGCCTACAAATGTGCGAACGTGGACTACGAACGTGGACTGCGAACGTGGACTGCGAACGTGGATTGCGAACGTGAGCTGCGAACGTAGTCTGCGAACGCGCGTACCTGATCTGCGAACGTGGCGAATATGGTTTGCAAACGATTTTTGTCCCAATTTCTCCTTCAAATGTCGCACTGTATTGCATCTTGGAAAACCGTTATTAAACAATTGCCGTTTGTTAATCGTATTGGGGTATCGACTAGAATTTGTCAACCCTTATTTGTTATAAATTATGACAAGCAATGGTATATTTCTCAAGTTTTTCTACAATAGGAGATACATAATAAGGGCTCAGAAGGCTTGGGTTGGGAAGCAATATTGTTGCCTCTAAACCCTTGCATATTAAAAAGGTTGGAAAGACGATAAGTCGACAGAAGGGTATAGAAGAACAAACTTCATTTTATTACATGAAAATGTATAACGTTCTGTCAATTGGAATATTATATGAAAATTATGTTATTTAATTTCCATAGCAAATTATATTCACATCGTTGAATCCAAGGCAAACGCTTGATACATGTGTGTATGATAGGTAAGTATCAATTGTCAGTATCTAATTATAATAAAATAGTATAAAAGAGTTATAATTTTCCTCGTTGATATATTTACGTCACGTATAGATGATTTCATTTGTTATCCGTTTTATTATCAGAAGTCTTATTGTTCTAATATGCATTAACATTATCTTAACGCTTAAATTCGATAACCTGAGTATATTTCTTCGTGATAAATATTGTACGACAGATTGATAATTATTCATTCACACAAAATACATATACCAAAATTAGGATATTTTGAATTGAACATTACTAACAATATGTCTCAATATGCACTTAAAAATTGCACTTCACTCTATAAAATGACGTACCAACAATTTTTTTCTAATTCAATCGTTAAAACATTGTATGAAATCCCGTATATATAGATTATTAAAAAATCAACAACAAATACGTCTTTAGCCTTCGCGTAAAGATTTTATCGATTTTAGATACAATTCTCTTATATTTTATAAAACATAACGAATTTACTTGTTACGTAATGTTATTCATATAAAATTGTCTAATTAATTATGGAGAGACAATTATGTTGGCAAGTTGTTGTCAACAGAGATAATACTGTTGGTATTCATAATGATGGAAGCCATACTCTCCAATATATCACTTGTCATTATTAAAATATGTATACTAATAAATTATTGTACTTCCAATATTTAATGATTTGTCCATGATCATGCATCGCATCGTTAACATGCGAGTATGGCCTGACTAGTTTAAATTGATTTCATGCATTGATTTTTAGCATATCAATGCTAATATATTAACGTTCGTATTGGGAGAATTTTATGCGTACCTATCGAAAAAAAAAAGAGGAAATGAATATTATACATCGCGAACTCGAAAATTGAATTGCATAGCAGTAAAATTACATGTACGTAGTATTATCTAATATTATGTAAATGAAGTTTACAAACATTTAGTCCTTTCTCTTGGCATCCGCTTTCTCATCTTTAGCTTGGCCTCGTCCCAACAATTTGGCTAACCAATCGCAAATTCCTCCGAGGAACAACGCAGAGAATAGATTTTCGAAAGGTACGAATGGATCATGAATTCCAAGCAAAATGGACGATAGCTGAAATATTAATAACAATTAGCACTTAGTAACAAACAAGATTAGCAAAGATTAGCTTTCATTTAAGAAGAAGTACAAAATTCCTGTTACCTTGAAATACACGAAGAAAATAACGATACCAAAGTAAACTAATGCATGAGGAGCCGAGATGAGATCAGTCTTTTTATCAAGGACGAAAATAATGGATGCAACCATTGATGCTTTCGTAGGGCTAAAAAGTAAAATACTACGTGTTACTCATTTCAGTTTTAATCTATAAAAAAATAGAATAGAAGAAGAAATGTACAAGCTAGGTTGCATAAATTCCATAGCAGTTGGAGTCCATACTCCTCGTATGAGACGTTCAAAAAGTTTTGTAAAACCTGCACCATTTCCTAAAATAAATTAAATAAATTAATTTTGTATTTCAATACACTTTTACTTTTATTTTTCAGATATTAAAAGTTACCTTTGAGTGTTCCAATTAACACCATGATAAGATATGCATTTGGGTAAAGTTTTCCTGCATGAGATACTCCATCATATACCTTTTTACACCTGTAAGTTATGGCAAAATAATATAAACATAACAGAATAAGGTAAAAAACAAATATTATTATGTACTCACTTATTATTATGTACTCACCTATATATTTCCTTCATAGTAGCACATACTATCTTTACTGGTAAAAACTTGGCAATTTTATATCCAATATCAAATGGTGTATAAAATATCATATACCTGTGCAATAATTAAATAATAATATACCTTACTAAATGTTATGGGAGATGTCATATTATTGGTTTTGTAAACAATTGTGTTTTTCTTGTACTTGTACTTTGCACTTACACTTTGGTACGAAGTGCAAGTGCAACAAAGACACAATTGATCTGAAGCTTGGAATTTAGCTTGAAGCTATGGGAAGATATTCATTAAAAAATTCATTAAGTTATTAACAGAGATTTATAGTTTTTAATTTAATGATACTGACCAAACAATAGTCGCTACTACCACTTGTGGTGTATTTTTCAAAGGTGCAATAATCGGCTCTCCTAAAAGACCATTGCATAGCATACCACTTGCAAACACTACCAACATTGTTGAAAGCCAACATGAAAGAGGGTGTTTCCGAGAAAACGCTTGAGCACCTATTCAATAGAATTATGATAATATGAAGTTATGAAAAATAATGAAAGTTACAGTTGAAACAGTCTGATAAATTAGAGGTACAACATTTTTCAAAGATTTTTAAATATTTATTAATTACTAACATGTAAAGAAACATCTAATTTAATTTAGAAAGACACATCCAAGATGTGATAAATTTCCTGTTTTCTAATACACCATGAAATATCAAAGGGGCACATTCTTTCAAGTAGGTCACTTGGAATCCTTACAAGTATATTATATTACATGTATTCACACAGATATAATGCTAGTCTACCATAAACATGAAAATAATGTTTTTTGGTATATTTTTAACACTCTGAGTATAAAATTAAATTACATAAAAGTTTATTTAAAACAATACGAATATAGTTAAGAAATACATTTCACAATAAAATTTATTTTTCATATGATTTTAGATACCATAACTACTACCAAGGAATATAAAAGGTACAGAAATTCTTTGAGTCATTGTTCAAAGATTGCTGCTTCATGGTTCATTGCATAAGAAAGTCATTGATACAAAAAGTTTTACTGCTATATCTGGGAACATTCTTACACAATAAGCTTTCATATACTTAGGAAATATTTACAATACAATTATTTATTTTCCATATTTATTTATAATAAGTTATTTGCATAACTTTAAGAAACACAAAAAATTATAGGAAATCAAAATTGAGGCCAAAGGTTTGAAAAAACTTGGCGTGCCCACAAGGGTATATACTGAAATAGATTAGCTAGGTAAATTCAGTGAATGTCACAAAATAGGATTATTCTAATTATGCCACATACCATGTGAGAATAATTTTTTCTCTCTTTGAACATTTTTCATACATTTGTTTTGGACAATATTATTAAAAGAGGAAGTTGTATTAATGTTCTTATTCTATTTTTATAATATTAATAATATCAAATATGTTTAGTAACAAAATTGTATTTTTAAACTTACAGAAAGATAATAAGACTTTACTTTAACACTTAGAATAAAATAATCCAATTGTTATGAATAAAAAAAAATCTCTTAGCTTAAGTATTATTAAATGAGATTAAGGGAGAGCTAATTTATTAATAATAAAATAAGTAAAAAATAATATAATAAATAAAGCGGGAAGTGAGTTAAACAAGAATAATGAAGAAAAATGGTTGGGAGCGAAACACAATCTTAGAAATGGTATAAGCTGGTTCTGAGCAGATTAAATTTAGAATTGGTCGGGTAGGCTTGGGCTTACCGGATCCCAAATCTTCTCTGACGTGTAAAGCACAGAGTACGCTGTGTGCGATATCAAAGTACGGGAACATTTTCAATTTAATGACCTGATTGGCCATGTCCAGGAATGCTTCGGGATCCATTTTCAATTGATTTTGCAGCCGCTTCAGGGATAAACTTTTCGTTCACGTAAAACTGTGTCTGTCGGCGTTCAACAATCGTCGAGTTTGAAACAAAGTCACAAGCGCCCGCGAATGACGCTAGCTATGCGCCGTCTGCTAGACTTGGTCGTCTGCTAGACTTGATCGTCTGCTAGTTATGGAATCGGTCCCTACCATTAGAACCTTATCGTCGAACCAACAAATTTCATGGCCTCTTTAAAACTCCTTCCTACAGATGGCAGTAAACGATTGCATTTGTATCTATTTTTTTTATCATGTCTGGCTTTTGAATGAATTTTAATCCTTTATAATGGTTGGGTTAAATACGTGACACATTAAATACAACTTCAGATTTAGACTCTCACACGTTTCAGTGAAACATTTTGAAAAATTTCATTAAAATATTTTCAGATATTCAATTTAAAGTTACAAAATGCGGTAACAAAAATCGGTATTTAACGAGAGCTACTAAATTTTTAAACGAATTTTATGTATAGCGACAATTTTCAGTTTAAATGTATAACAGCTCCAACAATTTTTATAAATTATCAAATTTAAATAAATTATCGCAATCTATGTTATGTTTTTATCTTCCTTGTGTAGACAAAATTCGTATCTTTCGCCTTTTTCTGATTTAGCTATATTTATATTCAGTGAAAAACAATGAATGCTTTTAAAATCTGGCTATGTTAACCAATTTCATTAATTCTTTCTTCTTTTTTATATATATATACATATCTGCC